TGCTGGCGCGCGCGCGTGGCAATAATTGAAAGCGCCGGGAAACGCCGGCTCTCCCGAGTTATTTTGCGAGCTTGTCGGAAAAACCGATATTAACGTGTTTAATTCACTGCTCCCCCGTAGAATCAGCTTAATGCAGAGTCTCTAAGCCGTTATTCTACTAGACATATGAAGGGAATCACTGGTAATTTCGCAATATCGCACAGAGCAATGCTAGCAACATGAATTTCACAGAACGCCGAAAGGCGTTGTTGCGTCGCTAAATCTCTTTAGGAGGGTTATTGACGACACTTTCTGCGAGGCACATTGGAGCCCTGAGTATTTTTTACCATAGCAGAAATAAAAGCCCAAGGAACCATTACTTCAATAATTTAGTCGTATTTGCTTCGGCACGTTTCGCCAGTTTGTAGATTTACCGTAACTTTAACTTACATCTGTTTGCCAGAAGTCGAGGCGATCCTTGGTTTTATTACTCGCTATGGTCAGTGTCAAGAACGTTCAAGACCCTTGCGTGGGTCACCCGGGGGCTGCAATCGGCAACCCCCTCCAGGATCACCGGTTGATTCCCACTCAGACAAATTTTGTACACCCCTACCAAAAAAGGTTTATAAAAACCCACGCAAGGTACAGAGACGAGAGACACAAGAAAAATTTTGAACTAGACACAAGACGGAACATAGACGTCGTTGTACACTCTCGCCGCTGACGATTATTATTGAACTAACCAAAATAAACACTAAAGTATTTTTCACTGAAGTAATTAGATACAGTCCACTTTCCAAACAGTTCGCACAAAGTTAAGTCGGCGTGCGACGTACGGGTTTCACTATAAGATTTTCGAATAGAAAACGCGTACACAACAGGCGTCATCGGTATTAAACGCGTTAGCACTTAACCTACGGGTGGATGTTGAAATCTATGCAACTGAGGTGTTATAATAAAACCCAGAGTGAAGTCTTCCGATATTTTTATTGAGCTTGCTCGGAGTAAATGACTTGTGAGCATTTTTAGATTTCATATACCTTTATTTAGATGCGGTACCTTAAAATACAGTAAAAAATGTTCATTTAGTTTCGAACGTAGTAGCCTGTGCTTTCCAGACGAAATCGAGCTACTCGATAAATATTTCTGATTGAAAAGCTACCACGGAAGTTACCACCATGAAAGATTCAACGTGTATGACCAATAAAATTCGAGAGAGTAGATCATTTTTCATTCAAGCTTTCTACAGAGCAAACTAATCGATGCCGCTACTCTAATTTGTTCAAATGTTAGTGGCAAGTACGTCGAGTTCTTCGCGTACCTGACTAAATCAAATTGATCTACGCTTCGTTTCGCATAGTTAATCACTTGGACAAACGAATAGCTCACTTATCCCTCGATTCCAATTCCCGAAACAGCAGACCCGCTGGAGGGGTTCGTAGGCATCTCTCAGCGATATTTGCTCGCGCAGCAATATCTCGGCTAGCGCTCCGCTTTTGTAGCCCGGCTTTTCAGCCGAGGAGCCGGCAGGCAGCCCCGTTTCTCTCCAGCGATCGCCCGGGAAAGTCGTCGCACGATTACTTCGTCGTCCCGACGGCGTGTCCACGGTAAATGTTTTTCTCTTTTCCAAAGACAAAATGTTTTACGACCGTCTATGGAACCTGGCTTCGCGGGGAGAGGGGGGCTGGGCTGGCTGTTATTCTTTCTCGTATAAAAGAGCAACGTTCCGACGGAGCGGATCGATCTGGTTCGAAATGATATCGAGATCGGAGTCGTTGTTTCTCGTCGGTACACGGACGAGGGACAAAGTGAACGTCACTTCCGGTGTTACGTTGCTCTGCGTTTTCCTTGAGATCCTCTTCTGCGGCGAGAAAACAACGTTGCTTATTCATGACTGCAGCTCGTAGAATTTTATATTCACCAGGTACCATTTTATAATCATCAATATCAAATTACCAATACTAAAATTGAGATAGGTAAAAATAATCCCATTCTTGATCCTTCCTTTTATGGTTATTGAGAAGGTATGGACGTATCTTGGATAAATGATCAAAGAAGTTGATTTAGTGGTAGGCAAACTGAACCGATCTCCAATAGCAGAGGTTTGAATTCCGTCTTCGATTATGAAGCAATTTGCATCGGGAATCTTATGCCGAAAATCCTTGAAAACACAATTGCATGTAAATTATCCTTGGTCGAAGCGGGACGTAATCGTTAATGAGGAGCGCTACGCTATCGTGGGCTCGTTGCGGTGGCATCGTTACCTTTCCAATGGAGTTGAAAAAGGTATACAAATCGATGGTCGTGTATAACGATTTCAATAAAGTCTTTCAGATCTGCCGTGAATCAACGGTTGCATTTCCTTTAGAACGTAAAGCTTTATTAACCTCTTATTAAGTAATAACTACTAAGATTTATCGTGAAGATGCTTGGATCAAATCAACGATAATCAATGTTATTTTACAGGCGCAAAAACAAAAGACTATTTTACTTTTCCCAACGCTTTTACTTTCGACGTAAATTTGCAGTTGCAACGAACATTGATACACAGCACTACAAATTTAATACTTAATTTAATTAATAGTAAATTGTAGCAAATAAATTCATCAATCGTGAGTAAGTTTAACAACAAATGTAATAGCTACGACGAAAATTGTAAAATGAAACCTTCGCCAGAAGTCAGACATAACGTGACAAGGCAACGTTTCGAGCTGGCAAAAAAAAACCTTTGAAACAGCAACGTTCGACTGACGATTGCCATTTCCTCTCAAAGGTATTATTCGATTCGATCATTTGATCTCTTAGCGCCGTTGCGTGTCGCGTTGGGCGCGAGAAGCTCGTAATTCGGTAATCTCCGTTCGATCGCGGCGGACAGAGAGAGAGTAGGTATATGCTGCGAACAACGTTCACCCGTGTCCATGGCCCCGTCCGTACGTGCTCGTCGCAGTTCCAATTACCATCGGAACTCGATTATCGCGGAGATACACACCGGTAGCTGTTCGAAATTCTCCGACAGCTGAGAAATTCATGAATTCCGGCCGTAAAACTTTTACAGCGGACCACTGTCGTTTGGATCGCGGACGTCTCCTTGAACGCTGATAATCCGCCGGCTACCAGGAATGGCAACGACGATACATCTTTATTACACGTTCGGCCGTCCACGCGTTACAGGGGAAAGCAAACAGACAAGAAAAATAGGAATTACGGTCGCCGAAACTTCGAAATCCTTCTGCGAATCCAGGAAACAGGGAGATACGTTAAGCTCGCGGAGTTGAAGGAAACTTAAGTGACTACGAACGCTTTAACTCCTTGCCTTGCGATTTTTCTCCAACTTTACTCTTTGAAGCTGTATCATTCTTAAGAATCAATTAGAAGAAAAATCAATTCTGTATTCATTGTGAATCTATGTACACTATATAGAGTACATATCCACAAGAGAAGGATAATGTTCAATTTATACTTGAAAAAGATAAATGATACATTCGTTCAATTCAGTTTCAAAACATCAGCACGAGTCCTAGTCGTTATTATAAGGCGAAAGGTTACAAAGCTTTTACATTCGTCACTTACTTAGAGGCATGAGTTGACAGTTTCAGTAGCTGTCTCGAATAGATATTAACCTCTTTGAGATCGCTTAGTATCACCCTTAAAAAAGGAATCTTCCTTTTCTGCGACAGATTTAGAGTCTCGATTCATAGAATTAAATATCACCATTCCCACAGAAAGCTTATGAAAATCTTTGAAATCGAACAAAATTGTCTCGACGTTTTCCTGAAACGCGCTGCAAGCAATAAAGTATTCAGCAACGAAGGAGCCAATTCCTAGTCAAAAGAAAAACGGAATCAAAGTCGATTAGTAAACTCGCGTAAAACATAAAAGCACCGCTGATAGCAACCCTGAATCTCTTTCAGGTAGAGCGTCGACAAATGACAACAGCGATAAAAAGCGACGAGACGTAGGCGCGAGGGAAGTATATCGGATCTCCGGGGTCGCGGTTCAAAAAAGTTGCGGGAAAGAAAGAAAAAAGTATCAGCGAGCGAATGCGGGTACTCGATCGTCTGGTCTTGTGAAAAAAAACAGAGTTTCCATCGGGGTGGAAAGCAATTAGAAGAGGTCCTCGAATAAATCGGTGCTTTTAGAGCGTCGCGGGCGCGGTCGCAATTCCTCGTCGCGCGGATTGGGGAAGAGAAAAAGGAATAAGAGGTAAAGGATCCCGTGCAATCGGCCGCGGTCGCGCCGGACACGCCGGCCACGCCGGGCACGCGGCCGTCCGCCGCTATCGGAAGCCAACAATCAGAGAGGAGAGCGCTTCCCCGCGTTTAATCCTCTTTGCTTCCGGCCTGCCGATGCTATCGGCGCGTACGTTATCGCACTAATTGGCTGTCAGTTCAGTCGGAAAGGAATTTCAAAGCTGGAAGCCCAAAGCACGTGCCGTTTCGCGAAAATAATCCCCCGTCTGTTGAATATGTACCCTATCCTAGCGCGCGCGCGGCGCTCCATTTTTACGGGCCACCGAAGGAATAAACGGCCGATCTGTCCGCGGCTCGCGGTCCGGCGTTCGTGATTCATCGGACTTTCGGCTCCGCGATCAGGCCACTTGACCGACGAGCGTTCAGTCGCGGGTTTTTGGTGGTCTGCTACTCAGAGAGTTAACGGAGATTGAAATAGCCTTAGAAATAACTGTAGCGGGTCAGTGTTTATTGGCTCTGACTGGAACGGTGAGAGTCAAGAACTGTGCAGTTCTGTGATGGGAAACTGACGTTAGATCTGATAGGTTCTATGTTCTATAACCATTATTTTTCTTTCATACTAATACTATTGGCAAAATGAGTCTTTGTTACCGAAGATTAATCGGCAACGCCGTTTTCAATGTCGGCTTTCATAGACCATCGATCGCTGTACAGCGAATCAAAGCAGAACCCACAAAGACAGGTAGCTGAATTGAAAATGATCTACTCTAGTTTCTAAACCACAACTACTAGAAACAAATGATTCGAATCGGACGTTGTTTTGCATTTCAGATGACACCGGTGCAGCAAACACTGGCGTTCGGTTGGTAGTGGTCAAAGCTGTCCGCCGCTCCTCGGGCCAGCCAGGCGAGCAAGAAGAGGAACGAGAAGAGCCTACGGTATCGGAAGGGAAATCCAACGGCAGGGGGGGAGAGGAAAGATCGTCCGTATCCTATCGAGAAAGAGGTCAGCCTGGAGAGAAGAAGAAAAGAAAGGACGAAGGGGAAGAGAAGAAACGTCGATCGAGCGGAAGAGAGACGACGGGTTAGCAAGGATAGGCAGTTGGCGGGAAGGGGAAGGGGAAGGGTGGTA